TGTGGTTAATGCAGTTAATCTCCTTGAGATAGCTGGAATAATAAGATCCTCCAGCAGAGTTGCTAACATCTTTCAGAAGATACAAGCTGCCTTGTTAAATAGGAGATTTCCTGTTTTCATTACCCATGTCCGAGCACATTCTGGACTCCCAGGTCCCATGTCCTTAGGGAATGACTTAGCGGACAAGGCTACAAAGCTGGTGGCCGCTGCCTTGTCTACCCATGCACAAGCAGCAAAAGAATTCCATAAGCGCTTTCATGTGACGGCTGAGACCTTGCGCCGTCGTTTTGCTCTATCCAGGAAAGAGGCTAGGGAAATTGTTACTCAATGCCAGAATTGCTGCGAATTCTTACCTACTCCCCACATGGGAATAAACCCACGTGGCATTAGACCATTGCAGATGTGGCAGATGGATGTTACTCATATTCCCTCTTTTGGAAGGCTTCAATATGTTCATGTTTCTGTTGACACCTGTTCTGGCGTAATGTTTGCCACACCCCTAACAGGGGAAAAGGCCTCATATGTGATTCAACATTGCCTTGAGGCCTGGAGTGCTTGGGGAAAACCCAGAATTTTAAAAACAGACAATGGACCAGCATATACCTCTCAAAAATTCCGACAGTTTTGTCGGCAAATGGATGTTACCCATCTAACTGGCCTACCTTATAACCCTCAAGGACAGGGCATTGTGGAACGTGCCCATCGTACACTCAAATCATATCTGATTAAACAAAAGGGGAGTATTGAGGATGTTCTACCCTCGGTACCAAGAGTTGCTGTATCCATGGCACTTTTTACCCTTAATTTCTTGAACTGTGATGCCCAAGGCCACACTGCGGCTGATCGCCACAGTTTAGAGCCTGATAGGCCAAAAGAAATGGTAAAATGGAAAGATGTCTTGACTGATCTCTGGAAAGGCCCGGATCCTATTCTTATAAGATCCAGGGGAGCTGTGTGTGTTTTTCCACAGGAGGAAGAAAACCCCCTGTGGATCCCTGAAAGACTCACTCGAAGAGCTCCTTCACAACTCCAGAATAAGAAGGATGGAGGCCAAGTGGGTGATGAAGACTCTCCTACTCGGGATGATGGTTCCTAGTATGATGGGAGAGTTACGGTGGGCCATCATGTCTACCTTCCCCTACCGATGCCAGTGATGCAGAATGCCCAGGTGTTCCCTAGATTTTTCACAAATAATAGAGAGTTGGGGCTTGCCTTTTTGCCTTTAGATCCTCAGATACAGAGTTTTCAGGATGAGAGAACCTTGTCATTAGTAGGAAGCTTGTGCTTTACTGTGATTTCTTCATTAAAGGATAATTTTATTCATATGGATCCAGAAAGATCTAATGCTAATCCTTTTGAATTAATGGAAGCTGTACTGATCTTTCTCCTATGATAGTGAGAAGGGACAGATTACTTTTGATTGGAAAGGGGCATTAGGCAACAGTCTGAGTGAGGGACAGAGCTCTGGATCATCTGATTGGTCCTCCTCCAATGTTAAGTATACCCCTTTTAAGAGAACTAATTATTCAGCTGCCCTTTATTTGGGTTGTGAGTAATGATACCTTAGGTAAGAATCAGAAAGAAATAAATTGTTCTGCTTAGAATTGTTTTTATGCATTATGCTGGGATGCTATTAAGCACCCTTTTGCTTTGGTAATGCGCATGCCTCGATTTATTCCAGCTCCTGTTGAGGCGCCAAGTAATTTGAGTTTGTTTAGGGAAAAGCGAGATTTTTGGGATCTCTGCTATTATTGTGGGCCTGATAGCCACCGCCGCGGTTACTGCTTCGGTTACCGCCTGGCCCTTGCACTTTCTGCCACTGTGCAGACAACTCAAACCATTAATGAACTATAGGCCACTGTGACCATGGTCCTAGATAAACAGGCCACTGCCAATTCTCAGATACAAGGAGGCCTGATGTTGGTAAACCAACAGATTAATTTGGTTCAGGAACAATTGGATATATTGTGGCAGATGGCCAAATTGGGATGTGAACAAAGTTGCCTGGCCTTTGTGTCACTTAGTACAATATGAGAATTTTACAAGAGCAGCTAACCTGTCAAAAGCTCTGTCTCAACATTTATTACAGAATTGGACTTTTGAGTTTGAGCAGACACTCCGTGAGTTGAGAATGGCGATCCTGCAAGTGAATTCGACGCATCTGGATCTTTCTCTGATGGAAGACCTCTCCCCTGGATTTCATCTGCATTTTCTTATTTTAAGGAATGGGTGGGGGTAGGATCATTTAGCCTAGTTCTCTGCTGTGGAATAGTGTTGATGCTTTGGATGGTGTGTACGCTCAGAGCCCAAACAAAAGGAGAAAGTGGTGGTGGCACAAGCACTTGCTGCCTTAGAACACGGAGCATCCCCTGACATTTGGTTAACCATGTTAAAGCAATAGGTCGCTGGCCTCCCAGCTCTTGCACCCCACGAGGCTAGTCTCATTGCACGGGATAGAGTGGGTAGGCTTCAGCAGCCCAAGGAGTTGCAAGGCTAAGCACTGCACAGGAGAGGTCTGCGGTATAACGACTTTCTCCTGGGAGATAAGTCATCTTGCATGAAGGTTCTATGTCATGATCTCCTTCCCCCAGAAAAAAGACATCGGACTGGTCAGGACTTCCTCTGGGGATAAGACCCTGGAGAGGAGCTTTGTACATGTTCCGAATTTGCACATGGGGATTTGACCTCTATCTCCACTCCAAAGTTGTGGGTGTCCTATTGCTTCAAAAATAAATGAATAGGGGGAGATGTGAGGAGCCGCCCTCGCTATCGCTATTGCCGTTAGAAGATGGCGCTGACATCCACTGTCAGTTGGAGTTAACTGTCGCTGTCAGTTGGAGTTAACTGTCGCTGTCAGTTGGAGTTAACTGTCGCTGTCAGTTGGAGTTAACTGTCGCTGTCAGTTGGAGTTAACTGTCGCTGTCAGTTGGAGTTAACCGTTTAAACTGTGCCTCTCCCGTGACGTCATCTGGGGTGATGTGCAAACCACCAATCCCGGCTCTACACATCTCACTCGGAGCTCCTAGGCTTATATAAGGGGCTGGGTTTCTTAGCTTGGGGTCTCCCTCTAAGAAGCTGATCATCTATCTCTCAAGATGCATTAAAGCTTTACTGCAGAAGGATCCGAGTGTTCTGCGTCGTTCTTGCTGGCGAGACGGTAGCGCGGGACAGATGCTGTCTCAAAAAGAAAACAAATACAACAACAACAACAAAACTAAAGATGCTACCACCACCGTTCTGGACTGTGCTACAAGTATCTATGCACTCAGTTACTGAAAAGGCAGGAAATTGCTGGAACCCGTTATTCCCAGACCAGCCTGAGCAGAACACTGAGATGCCATCTTTAAGTAAATAAATATGAGAGTCACAGCCTTGGACGTCATATCTATGAATCTACCACTGGGCTACATACCTATTGATTATTATTTGGGGGGGGGAAGGGAAGGGTGTTGAAACAGGATCTCACCTGGTGGCCTTAATTGATCTGGGACCAGGCTGGCCTTGAACTCACGGAGATCCGCCTGCCTCTGCCTCCTGAATGCTGGGATTACATGTGTGCACTTGCTGCTTTTTTTTTTTTGACACAGCCCAGGGTGACCTCAAACTGGCAACGTAGCCAGGGATGGCCTGGACTCCTGTTCCTACCTGCACCTCCACGTGCTGTGACTACCTACAGGTGTACACTACCGTGACAGCCCTCTCTACATAAACAAAATACGCAGAGGAGAACCGAACAGCTTCTGAGAGTTCAGTGTCATTTTCAGATGAGCACTGCTTTCGCTACCCTCTGGTGCACCAGTGATTTGCAATCGTCATGAACTTGTCTACTAAATGTCACTGGAGCGACTGCTCAGTGGTTAAGAGCACTGGCTTCTCTTCCAGAGGATCCAGGTTCAATTCCCAGCACCCGTGTGGAAGCTCACAGCTACCTTTGGCACTAGTTCCAGAGGGTCTGACATCTTCTTCTGAACTCCATGGACACCAACCACACATGTAGCACCCAGACACACATGCAGTGCCCAGACATACTTGTAGGCAAAATATTCATGCACATAAAATAACTCTAAAAAATATGCCGGGGCCAGGCGTTGGTGGTGCACGCCTTTAATCCCAGCACTCGGGAGGCAGAGGCAGGTGGATCTCTGTGAGTTCGAGGCCAGCCTGGTCTACAAAGTGAGTTCCAGGACAGCTTCCAAGACAATACAGAGAAACCCTGTCTCAAAAAAACAAAAAAAAAATATGCCGGGCAATGATGATGCACGCCTTTAATCCCAGCACTCGGGAGGCAGAGGCAGTTGGATCTCTGTGAGTTCGAGACCAGCCTGGTCTACAAGAACAAGTTCCAGGACAGCCTCCAAAGCCACAGAGAAACCCTGTCTTGAAAAACAAAACAAAAAAACAAACAAAAAAATGTAAAAGACAGTTTAAAAAGAAAAGCTTCCGCTGCTCAGAATCTCAAAGGGAACAGAGAGACTCTGTCCCTCTTTTAATATATTAGTGCAGCCGGGCGTTGGTGGCACACGGCTTTAATCCCAGCACTCAGGAGACAGAGGCAGGTGGATATCTGTGAGTTCGAGGCCAGCCTGGTCTACAGAGCGGGTTCTAGGACAGCCAGGACTACACAGAGGAACCCTGCCTTGAAATAAACAAACAAAAAGATAACTTACAAAGCCTCATTTACTAATGAGGCTCAAGAACTTTCTTTTTCTGTTGTCATGTGTGTGGTGTGTTATACATGCATGTGGAAGCCCAAGGCTGTGAGTCAACCTTCATCAATCTTCTATTTTATTCCACAGGGTCTCTCAATCAAACCCAGAGTACACAGATACACCTCGTCTGGGGGGGGGCATCTCTTGTCTCCTCATCCCATGCTCCTCCCCCCCCCCCCCGCGTTTACTTGGGTTACGTGGGTGAGAACTTTGGTCCCCATGGTTATACCACAGCACTTTAACCAGTGATCTAGCTCTCCAGCACCTAAAACTTGAAGGAGGGGAAGGAAGAAGAAGAAAAGCCTTTATTTTCTGTGTATGGGTGTTTTGCCGGCTTGCACCGTGTTTGTGCAATACTCACGGAAGCCAGGAGGGGGCGACTAATCCTCTGGGACAGATGGTCGTGAGCAACCATGCTGGTGCCAGGAGTAAAACCTGGGGTCCTCTGGAAGAGCAGCCAGTGCTCTTAACTGCTGAGCCATCTCCCCAGGCCCCAAACCTTTTAAAATATGTTTAATAATATCTTCTTGGACCAGCAAGATGCGTCAGTGGGTAAGTTCTTGCTGTGCAAAGCATACCGGTATTGGCCAATCACATCTCCACGCTGGCCTCCTAGGGGAGCAAAAGGGACGGAGAGCTGCTGTATGGACCCAGAGGGACCACTTGGACACATCTTTGAGGGCTCTCTTCAACCCAGGTTTGTCTACCATCTGTGCAAACCCAAACTGCCTGGCCACTAAGCCACGCCTGGAGCTTGGCAGGCGAGCCACGGTCGTGATCAAGAGCTCCTGCCGAGACCAACGGATGGAACTCATTATCAGCCTTCCTGCCAAGCGGGGTCCACCCAGGCCGGCTCCCACACGGCTCCCTCTGTCCAGAAGGCCTTTTCTCACCCCTTTTTCTCTAGCAGCTTGGGACCGCCCAAGCTCGGGTGTCACTTCCAGAATCCTGGGGTCCTCAGCCTCGCCCAGGAACCCTCCCCCCCCCCATCATCAATGTGCTTCTCTCTTGGCACTTGTTCCCTACCCAAGGGGGCATTTTAACAACTGGGATGTGGGTGTCCATCTTCTAGAACTCCAACCCTTGAGTGCATGGCGTTAGGAGGTGGGGCCTTCGGGAATTACATCGCCAGAGCGGAGCCGGCACCCGTCACCCGCTCACAACCACCTGTAATTTTAGCTCTGTAATTCTAGTTCCTGGGGACCAGGTGCCTTCTTTTTGAGCTCTTCAGACACACACGGTATATACTCGCACAGAAACGTATGCGTAAGTAAAAACTGATCGTGGAGGCTAGACAGATGGCCCAACATTTAACAGCACTTCCTGCTCTCCCAGAGTTTCAGTTCTTCTCCCGGGACCGCGGCAGCTCCAGGGGCGATCCCATACCCTGGTACCATGAAGCAGCAGCACTCATGGGCACAGATACACACACATACACAATTAAACTAAAGAGAATGACCTCTTGGGGTTATAGAGATGGTTCAGTTGGTAAGAGCACTGGCTGCTCTCCCAGAGGACCCAGGTTCAATTCCCAGCAATGTCTAAGGATTCAGGCATTACGCTGGCCTGCCCCTGTCACCTGGCAGTAAGTACCCCGGTCAGCCCAGGTGCAAAGGACCCCTTTAAAAGAAAGACCCCAGCCGGGCATTCATGGCACACGCCTTTAATCCCAGCACTCGGGAGGCAGAGACAGGCGGATCTCTGTGAGTTCGAGGTCAGCCTGGTCTACAGAGCGAGTGCCAGGACAGCCTCCAAAGCTACACAGAGAAACCCTGTCTCGAAAACAACAACAACAACAACAAACAAAAAAAGAAAGACCCCTGCCCACTCCCGCTCTCTTTCCCTGTCTCCCTCTTCTCTTCTGTCCTCTCTGTCTCTGTGTCTCTTTATCTCCCCCCCCTTCCCTTTCTAATAAAACTTCTCACTTGGGCGCTGTCTGCCTGGCTTGCTTGTCCATCCACCGCCGTCACCCTCACCTGCCATGGAATCCGCCAAGGTTCTCCCGTGCTCTAGCATAACGCTGGTCCACGTGACTCTGCCAGTTTCCCCAGCATTTCCTCCGGCACTTGGCAATCTGAGCTACGCCGGGACCCTGGATCCTTCACTCGGGTCGCTTTTCCGACTAAGGGTCTCTGGATTCTTCCACCACCACCACCACGTCTGGTAAGCCGCCCCTCATTCTCTGCCCATGAGTTAGGACTCAAGGTGGCAACCACGGTCTCTCGCCTTTTTGCCTGGTGAAAACCCCAGTACGACTGTGACTGAGTCTCCCAGGCTCCAGGAGCCCTGGCCCCTGATTTTGTGCTACCTCACGTTTCTGATCCTCCCTGAGTCTCTGCGACACTGGAGATGATAGGCTTTGAATCTTCTCTACCTCTCTCTCATGGAAACTGATCCCTCCCAAATCAAACCATGTGCCTGCTTACTGACAGGTGCATCTCTGAGTTGAGGCCAGCCTGGTCTACAGAGTGAGTTGCTGAACAGCCAAAGCTGTTACACAGAGAAACCCTGTCTCAAAAAAACAGGGGGCGGGGGAGTGAGCTGTGTTTGACTTTCCTGACTTCTCCAGGGCTCATTGTGTACACAAGTCTTTTTTGTTCTCTGCGGCTGGCAACAGCCTGAAATTCCGGTTCCAGGGGATCTGACACCCTCTTCTGACCTCTGCAGTCACCAGGCATACTCATAATGTCCAGGCATGCATGCAGGTGAAACATCGTGCACATAAAATACAAATAAAACCAACTTTAAAACTATAAAAAATAAGTCGGGTGTTGGTGGCACACACCTTTAATCCCAGCACTCAGCAGAGGCAGGCGGATCTCTGTGAGTTCCAAACCTTGTCTCGAAAAAGAAAAAAACAAAAACAAAAACAAAAACAAACCTATAAAAATAAAAATTTAAATGAAGACAATAATAATTGCAATAAATCTTTAAAGAGGACTGCAGAGAGATCTCATTCCTCCTGCTGAGTGAGGACGGGGTGATTTCATCGCTCTACGGGTCTGCTCTCCCGGCCTCCAGAAATACAGGGTTGTCGTCTGTGAAGCACTCAGCCTCACTCTGTCCCAGTAGCCCTAACTCTTTTTTTTTTTTTGGTGGGGGGTTCAAGACAGGGTTTCTCTGTGGCTTTGGAGGCTGTCCTGGAAATCGTTCTTGTAGACTAGGCTGGTCTCAAACTCACAGAGATCCGCCTGCCTCTGCCTCCGGAGCGCTGGGAGAATAAAGGTGTGTGCTACCAACACCAAAATTTTTTGGAGGGGGAGGTATGTGTGTGTGTGCATGTGTGTGTGCATGTGTGTGTATGTGTATGTGCATGTGTGTGCGCACGCGTGTGTGTGCGTGTGTGTGTGCATGTGTGTATGTGCGCATGTGGAGATCAGAGTCAACACCAGATTCTCTCCATCACTCTCCCCCTCATTACTTCAAATATGTTTGTTTATTTATTTATGTGTGTGTGTGTGTGTGTGTGTGTGTGTGGGTGTTTCCCTGCTTACATCTGTTCACCATGTATGTTCAGCATCTTCAGAAGCCACATGAAGGTACCAGATCCCTTGGAATCAGAGTGACAGACAGCTGTGAGTTGTCAGGTGGCTGTGGGGATTTGAACCTGGGTTCCCTGGGAAAGCAGCCGGTGCTCTTAACTACTAAGCCGCTCCACTTTACTTTTTTGGGACATGGTCTCTCGCTGAATCTAAGTCTCACCTATTGGCTAGACGGAATGGCTAGCAAAAACTCCCAGGCTCCTCTCCTCTTGTCTCCACCTCCCAGCTCTGGGGTTTCAGGTATGCCTGCCTTTTGGGGAGGGGATTCAGACTCTGGGATGTGTCAGGTTTCTGTTGCTATGATATGACACCATAAGCAAAAGTAACTTGAGGTTCTCTTCAGCTTACAGCTCACGGTCTATCGTCCGGAGAGGTCAGGGCAGGGCTGGTGCAGAGGCCACAGGAGGGCGCTGCTCTCCTGCTCACCCATTCGCTCAGCCACTTTCTCACAGCTACCTTGCTAGGGCTGGGCCCTCCCACATCAGTCGCTGATGAAGAGACTACCCTGCAGGTTTGCCTGCAGGCCAATCTCATGGAGGAGTTTTCTCAGCTGCGGCTCCCACGTCCCAAATGACTCGAGCCTGTGTGTCACGTTGACATAACCTAGCCAGCACTGGGTGTAAACTCTGTGGTAAAGAGCTTGCCCAACATGCACAAAGAGCTGGATTCAGCCTCCAGCACTGCAAAAAAAAAAAAAAAAAAAAAAAAGCACATAAACTGGGACGTGTGTGTGTGTGTGTGTGTGTGTGTGTGTGTGTGTGTGTGTAGGGGCCAGCTCTGTGGCGCTGTTCTGTTGATGTTTCCCCTTTGGTTCCTGACTTAAGTACTTACTAAAAATTTCCAGCCTGGTCCCAGAGACTGAGGGAAATTTCCCATCTCTAAGCACAGATGGCTGGGGAAACAGAGGCAGCGGAACAGGGCCTGGCTAGAGGAGAGGACAAGGAGCGTGGGGTGGTGGCAGGGCGTGGGCCACCGAGGCCTGTGCAAGGCGTGGGCCCTGGGGACGCAGGAGAGCCCTGAACGACCACCTTGGCCCTGCTGGCCTGGGTGATGACTCTACACTGTCCCAGACATGTGCACCAATATGGGTCATGCCCACCCCCATTAATAATATACTCAGGTCCTAACCCTCAAGCCTGAGCTGGAACATTGTTCAGAAACTGGGTCTTGGCATTTGTAATCAGGTTAGAATGAGGCTAGGGTGGGCCCTAACCTATTTTTCTGTGTCTTTATGTAGAGAGAAATTTATTTTTATTTAAGACTAAAAATATTTTTATTTATTTACATATACACGTGTGCATGTATGTGCATATGCCTGCCTGAGGTTAGACGCATCTCCTGGAGCTGGAGACACAAGTAGTTGAGCTGCCTAATGTGGGAATTGAACCCTGGTCCTCTGTAAGAACAATACAGTTCTTAACCACTGGGGCATATCTCCAGGCCCCATTCATTTCTTTAGAGAGGACATTTTGGGCAGGTGAAGTGACTCACCAGTTGAGGGTGCTTGCTCTTACACCCAAAGACCCGAGTTCCATCCCTTGAGCCCTCAAGCTAAATAAACTAAGAGGCTGGAAGATGGCTCACCAGATAAGAGCACTGGCTGCTCTTCCAGAGGACTGGGGTTTGATTCCCAGCCCTCACAGAGGTGTTCAACACTGTCAGAAATACCAGTCCCAGCAGATCCATGGCCTCTTCTGTTCTGTGGACACCGGGTAGGGAGGACACCCTTACATACAAAGATGAATTTTTTTTTTTGGTTTTTCGAGACAGGGTTTCTCTGTATTGTTTTGGAGGTTGTCGGTCCAGCCCGGCCTCAAACTCACAGAGATCCGCCTGCCTCTGCCTCCCGAGTGCTGGGATTAAAGGCGTGCGCCACCACCGCCCGGCCACAAAGATGAAATTTTTAAGTAATAATAAATGTGAGAAAAAAAAGTCTGTAGGATTGACGGGGGATGTCCTTGCATGCTGTGACTGTGTTCCTCTTATCGGTTGATGAATGAAACTGTTTCAGCCAATGGCTTAACAGAGTAAAGCCAGGCGGGAAATCCGAGAGGGAATGAGCAGAGCCAGAGAGACGCCAGGAATCCATGGGGGGAGGTAAGACACCTGGGCATTCTGAAATAAGACAAGGCTATGGGGAAAAGGCACAGATTAATAGAAATGGGTTAATAATTAAGAGAGAGCTAGCCAGGAAGAAGCATGAGTCATCGGCCAACCGACTGTCACTGATAATAAGTCCCAGAGTGGGTAATTCATAAGCAGCCTGGTCTACAGAACGAGTGAGTTCCAAGACAGGCTACAAAACCACAAAGAAACCCTGTCTCAAAAAACCAAAAAAAAAAAAAAGTTTGTATTTTTTTTAATGAGTGTTTGTCTGTGTGTACTTATGTGCGCCATATGTGTTGACTGCACTACCCTCAGAGGCCAGAAGAGGGTGCGGGATGCCCTGGGCACTGGAATTACAGATGGTTGTGAGCCCAGTAATGTGAATGCTACGAATGGAACCTGAGTCCTCAGCAAGGGCAGCGAGTGCTCTTAACTGATGAGCCACCTCTACAGCCCCACATGTGAGCATCTTTAGCCAGACTCGGAGGTGGCGGTGCACAAACGTGATGACAGCACTTGGGAGGCCGCGTGTCTTGGCCAGAATCCCTCCTGTCCCGTCATCACAGCAGACTCTACGCTGTGGTGTCACCGACCAGGGCTGCCCGCAGAAGGTGTGTCTATTCACTTACCGGGAGCATGACCCTTTGCTGCCTTTAGAAGCCATTGTGCCAGCCAGGCACCAAAGAAGCACACGGAGATTTCATATTAGTTAGGGATGCTCAGCCTTAGCTCATGCTTGTCCCACCAGCTCTTATAACTTAATTTTTTTTCTTTCTTTCTTTTTTTTTTTTTTTTTTGGTTTTTCGAGACAGGGTTTCTCTGTAGCTTTGGAGGCTGTCCTGGAACTCACTTTGTAGACCAGGCTGGCCTGGAACTCACAGAGATCCGCCTGCCTCTGCCTCCCGAGTGCTGAGATTAAAGGCGTGCGCCACCAACACCTGGCCTCTTATAACTTAATGTAACCTGTTTCTCTTCACCTGCGCTTCGCCTTGGACTTTGTTACCTTTCTTTCATTCTGTACGTCCTACCCTGTGTCCGGCTGGCTGGGTGGCTGCCTGGCTGTCCCCGGGCATCTCCCTCTATTTCTCCCTTGTTCTCTCCTTTCTGGAGCCTAGATTCCGTCTCCTACCTATTCTCTCTACCTGCCAGCCCCGTCCATCCCTCTCCTGCCTACCTATTCGTTCAGCTTTTTATTAGACCAGTCAGGTACCTTAGGCGGGCAAGGTAAACAGCAACACATCTCTACATATCTAAACAAATGCAGCATAAACAAACATAGCACATCTTTACATATCGAAGGTAATGCTCCACAACAGGCTGAGGTGGCTCACGCCTTTGATCCCAGCACTTGGGAGGCAGAGGCAGGCAGATTTCGGGGTTCAAGGCCAGCCTGGTCTACAGAGAGCGTTGCAGGACAGCCAGGGCTACACAGAAAAGGAAGCCATTGTGGTTAGCACACAGGTAAGGAGTAGGGTGTCACTTTGGAGAGCCTGCTGAAAGCATTTGGGGTTCTTCTGGATGGGAAAGGCATCCATTCGCCCCTTACTTATTTATCCAATAGCTCAGTACTCTCAGCATGGACACATGGGTGCTTAACTCTTACTTAGGTTGCAACAACACTATTCCACCCATTTTGTTTATTCTTTTCTTTTTTGATCTGGGCCCTGGATTCTAACTCGGGTCCTCACTCTTGCTCAGCTTACTCTACTAACTGAGCAGCTGTCTCCCCAGCACTAGGCTCCACTCATGATAACGAATAATAGCAATAATAATCTTTACAATTTGAATTGTAACAGAATTGAAGCATGATTTACAATGTCGCTTTACCCAGGCATGATGACATACTCCTGTAATCCCAGCCCTGGAGAAGAGGAGGCGTGAGCATCAGTAGGTCAAGGCCAACATAAGAAGTTCTAGGTTGGGACTGGAGAGATGGCTCAGTGGTTAGGAGCACTGGCTGTTCTTCCAGAGGTCCTGTGGTTCAGTTTCCAGCACCAAGATGGCAGTTCACGACTGTCTGTAACTCCAGTTCTAGGATATCTGACACCCTCATACA